TAGCTGATGAACCCAAGATTGGCAGGCAAAACAATAGGCTGCTGACTTCAGAGCCTGATGAGTCCAAGATTGGCAGGTAAGATGTCAGGCTGTTGGCTCAAAGAAAACAATCCCAAGACTGGAGGGCAAAACAGGAGGCCGTTGGTTGTTTCAACAGAGGTCAGATAATGATGAACAAGATGCGGGATCGAGATTAAGCAAAATGCCAAAAAGTACTGCCATCACCAAACCAGATTCACTGCTGCTGAGTCGGATCCGACTCATAGCGACCCCTCCCATTGGGTTTCCGAGGCCGTATCACTACGGAAGTAGATTGCCCAACCTTCCTTCTGAGGAGTGGCTGGTGGTTTGAACTGCCAGCCTTCTGGATAGCAAGTCAAATGCCTTAGGCACTACACCACCAGAGCTCTCAGTACTGCCATAGCTTTTCTATATATATTGAAAGCAGGTCACACCCTGAAGGAAATTCCTTTTCAATTGATTGGCTGTTCATAGCAGATCTCATTATGGAAGTGATTACATTATATCAGATCTCATCATGGGGGATAACTACATCATAACTGCCAAACCACTTAGAATCATGGCCCAGCCAAGTTGACACACAACTTTAACTATCACATACATAAAAACTTTGTCATTATGCTCCAAAACGTCTTAAAGGGCATTTAGTTGTAACTGTTCTACTTACCAGAAAGACCCATCTTATTTTTCACCAATAACACACATGCTTAGAGTCTAGAAGAGAGTGCAAACATTTACTGTTATCACAGATCTCCTTTCAATTAATATCAAGTCAGTCATGGATGACCTGTAACTGTGGAAAGTGGATTGGATGAGGAAATATTTAAAGGAGGAGCACACATGTAACTCAAGATATATTGTAGAGATAGAATCAATGAGACTGATGGATTGTATGTGGAGGCTCCAAGTAGGAGGAACCAAGTTTGACATCTAATTTCTAGCTGAAGGATGTAGGTCAAGTTGTGGTGCTATATACAGAAATGCAGGGCTAGAGGACATAATGAATGGACATACTCAGTTTTAGATGTCTGTAACACATCCAAATAAACAATTCAAGAAGCCAATTAGAGACTTCTATGTGAAAATGGTGGATTGAACACATACAGCCATTTTCCTTCATGCAACCCCTCAAAACAGAATATATGGATTCCTACTATTTATTCTCATTTAATTCTTAGTACATAATCACAATGAACTTCTAATGGCAACAAGTAACAAATATATTTCCCATTAATCTTTTATTTTTAACATAGTTTTAACAATAAAGAAAAGACATAGATTAAAAATATACCATAGCTGTCAATTCAAAATTTAAAATGACTTTCTTGTTAACCAAAGCATTAACACTATAACCTGTAATTTCATCTTCATTTTTATATACAAGAACTATGTGCAAAGTGCTTTTCAAACTATAAATAAGACTTTGGAACAAGATACAAACGGTTATTCCTAGGAGTTAGTTACCCCTGACTGTTAAAAGAATCACCACTGCTTACATTCCGAATTTATACTTTTATTTATTTATACACTAAGAGAAAATCCACCATTTTCTGAAACTAGATAGGTATCTAATTTTTGTAAATAATGCCTGATCCACAGGAATAAACTTTATTTTTACATGTAATTGTTACTTCCTTCATTTTCTTTCAAAATAAATAGAAGACAGTTTAAAAAAAAAAAAAAAGTACATATCAGTAGATCTCTTTAGACAGACATATTTTAATCAAAAAGGATTAAAAAATAAAATAACATTAAGTTACATGAAAGAAAAAATGAGATTAAGAGAGTCTCGGGAAAAGCACATTCTCTTTAGGCAAACAAAGCACCTCCCTAAATACTAGGGATGGATTACTCTTTTTACTCATTTAAAATATCCTGAACACATGCTAAACCCCAAATTATACATTATTAAGAACACTTAAAAATTATTTGCTTCAAAGCCTTTGAATCAAATCTTTAAAGTACACTTATCTACCATATTTTTACACAAATAGTGTGTGCCTCATACACATTCTTTGCAAACTGCAACCTCCGTGACTGTTAGTTTCCTATGCACACTATGCATGTTATATGCATGTGCTTGTTATTTCCATGTGCACATTTTATGTGGAAAATACAGTAAGTGAGCAGGGGGTTTTGGATGGTATACAGGAAGAGTAATTTTCTAAACAAAGTCTTCAAGAATCTAAAAGTTGTCCTAGTCTAAATGTGGATGTGGGAAGGAAAGGGACTAATATTTGCATTAGTTAGGTATACCTCATTCATATGGAAGCTTCTGGCTCGCTAGCTCGCAAATCCTTGCAGTACCCCTGTGAAGTAGGTGTATCTCAAATATTATATCCTCAAATATTATATCCTGAAGGAAAAACCGAGGCACTAAGAGGTTAGAAGTCCAGTCTGTGTAGTTTTCCAGTTGCAGAAAAGTGATGTTCATGTGTTTTCTTATTTTGTAAAAACAGTATAAATAAGTTTTTATTGTATATTTCAAAGCACCCTATAAAGCAGAAACTAGATATCGTCATTGAAGAAAAAGGATTACAAAGGAATAAATGTATATAATTGGATAGAAATCTTATTAATGGTTTGCAAGCTCAGAATACTTTCACACTTACATGAAGTCCATTCTCCATCATTTTCTTCAGCAGGTTATGTCTGTATTATGACTCATTTGTGGAACGTAAGCCTAGTAGATAGGTTCTACTTTCTAATAATATCAGAATACCTGAATACCAGAGTCACAATTGTGAATACTCAAGAAATATTAAGGAAATTAAGTACTCTGGGGAGCCGACCAAGTGAACTATGGAGAAGACTCTTCTAGCAGTTTTCTATTCCTTGGTATGGCAATTCAGTGACTACAATATAAAGTCATTTTAATCTGATTTGAAATTCAATCCTGGTTTGCATTCTTTCTCAAATTTAATTTAGGAAATTAAAATGCCCACTTATAAATCTGATCTCATTATTACAATTATACCTTGGAAAGTAGTTTGTATTTCTAGATGAGAGATAATCAGGTAAACATGTTACCATACAATAATAATGTCCTTCAAGTTTAAGGGGAGGGTAAATCTATGTATGCTACTTATAACATACTTAAGATTGATTATTCAAGTATCAGCAAAATTAGTCCTTATAATGTTATCATTTGTGTAGTGCAAAATATATCTATATATGTACACAAACCAAACTACTGGACAACAGAAAAAAATGTAATCACAAACTAAGACTTTCCTGTGAATCACAATCCATTTCACTCCAAGATCATTCGGGCCCAGTAGTCTTCTTGAGTAAAATACCACTGTCTTCAGTTCAGTTTTCTTTAAAAAGGAAGTAAAAAACAATCTCCTATGAGTATAAATGCAATCTAAATACAAAACAAATTCACCAAATAATTTTCTGAGTTATATAATAACAATACTGACATTCAAATTCAAAATAACACCAAAAATTACAAATAGTCACTATGATATTACTTCACGTGACTTACAGACCAATAGGAAAGATTGAACTTCAAGGCCTGAAGTTAACAAATAGTTTTAAAAAAATAATTTAAATGAATAGTCTTTTCTTTCCTATCTTCTAGATTATTTTGTTTTGGGTTTTAGAAAACTTATTTCTTGCTGAACATAAATCCAACTGTCTTAAAATAAGCAGAGAACAAGAAAGACAAATGATTCACTCAATGTTAGACGCATTTAGTTTATCTACTAATAATAGATCTATAATAATATTAATATGTATTATAATAATATACAAATATTAATATAATAGAATAATTATCTACTACTAATGAGTAAAATAGATAATAGTTTATTAATCTATTATTTACCAGTATATATTAATAGATAATATTTATCTATCAATAGTATAGGTTCCTGGGTGGTACCAATTATTTGCACTGATTGCCAAGCTAAAGGTTGGTGATTCAAACCAATCCAGTGTGCAGTGGAAGAAAAGCCTGGCAATCTGCTTCTGTAAAGAATACAGCCAAGAAAAGCTTATGGACTAGTTCTATTGTGCAACTCATGGAGTCGTCATGAGTGAGAATCAACTCAATGGCCCAGGGTTATTAATAGTGTAACTGGGGCACTTACACTAGTGCTGCTTATGCCTTTTACATACAGAAGGATAAATGTTCAGTTTCTGCCTTTGTAATCTACCTTAGTTATTAAAAACTTGAGTTCTTTGGTAGAAGAAATATATACTTGTAAATAATTAAACTTGTAGAATTTTAAAAATGTGTTTCTACTGCATATAGTTAAGAGAGCACTTGAAAGCTTATTAGCAAATGCCCTATTTCTTCTCCCTATGTGTTGTTACTTAATGCAAAATGGTGATGGAACCCTGAAAAGGTGAGGTAAGGTAACACTGGCAAAAAAAAAAAAAAAAAAAATCTGCCCATCCATGGAAAGCATTTTAGTTTACATAGTGTTCAAAAAAATGCCTTAAGGATTCTTTTGCATCCATGAGTTTTGGCCTCAGGCTATTCCTGGTATCATCAGTCTCTGAGCACTTTTAGGGATCACAGCCTACTGTCAGACCTATTTGAGGTGACTTTCTAGTATCCCAAAGTGGAATTCTGGCCCTAATTACAGTAATCCTTAATTACTGGGTTGAAAATTTTCTGAAAGGTCAATGTTGGTATTTCAAAGTATAGAAAATTTGTTTGATTCTCTATTTTCTCTTAGTATTAGCAAAAGGCCCCAAATAAACATATTTTAAGACCATTTTTCCCTCATAAATCATAAAATTTAAGACATGTAGTCATTTTCTTGTTCAGTCAGATGCTCTCAAGTAAGTTTTTGAAGTCAGTAAGAACCTAGTAATCCAGGGGCTGTCATTTCCAAGGCAGTGTCAATATCAGGATCAGTATAGAGTATTCAGCATGACAATGTATATAAAACATCTTCTAAATATGTATATATTATTAAAAGTTTACACACGATTCTGAATTATAAAACTGTTAGGAAATAGTGTTACCTTCTCCTTCTTTGATAATATACATGCACCAACCATTGGGCAATAAAAGGCCATATAATAGAAAAAGTTAATGCACCAGGAGACATCTCGAAGGGCCACCAAGATGGTCTCTGAGAAAATGAAAATCAGCTGGTTACCAATCTATCCTATTTAGTATATATAAGCATAAAAACGTATGTAATTCATAATTTTAAAAATACACAATTAACAACAAATCTCACTCCTGCTAAAGAGAGAGAGATAGTCTGCATTTCAAAGCAGACAGTCAGGAGTACTTCAGGCTTAAACACAAAACAAAATCTTTTTTAACCTCTAAACTCTGAAGGGTAGAACTCATTAGCAATGCTTTAAGGATTCTACATAATCTGAATTAACTGTAATTCATTTAAAACCCTGGCACTTCAATTTCAGAAAAAAATCTCTTACCGTTGAGGAAGGCTGATTACTATTCTGTAATGTTGATGATTTTGCCTATAAATACAAGTAAAAAAAATAAAAATGAAAAAAAAAAAAAACAGTACTTTTTCTATTTCCTATATATTTTTTAAATGTCTAAATACTAGTTTATTCTCTATGTTTTCTGCAAACTCTACTTTTTATCTTGAAACCCTTAACCAACCAAATGACTACTGCTAGTCCAATAAATACCTTTGGCATTTGATAATGTTTTATACTTCATTATATATAATTATCAAAATAAGGCCTCAAATTAACCTAAACCCTTACTGCTTTCATATTCTTAATAAATCTCCTGTTCAATTTTTCTTAATTCCTTTTTTTCTATACAAACTGCCAAATTACAAACACATTTGAGCATTGTAGTCTTCATTCTTAAATAAAACTAAAAATTATGTGCCATTCAGGGAAACAGTTTGTGGGGCAGGAGTACATTGGAGGGACGGACACAGGGAAGAAATGGCTATGGGGAAGAAGTGGGAGAACTGTTGCACTGTGGGAGATTACTGTCAATGTCATGAGACAGTGTATGTGAACTACTGTATAGAAGATGAAGTTGCTCTATAAACTTTGACCCAAATCACAATAAAAATAATAATTAAAAAAATTATGTTCCATAATCTGGGAAACTCATGACAAGTTATAGCAGAGGAAGTATAAGACAGACACAGAAAGAAGCTATTCATGTTATGTTGTTGTTGTTGTTATGTGCCGTCGAGTCGACCCCCGACTCATAGCGACCCCTCCTTGGGTTTCCGAGGCAGTATCACTACGGAAGTAGGATTGCCATTCATGTTATAGGTTTTAAAATTAGTAGTAGCAAAAACTAAATAAAAATTTCAGAATAATTTATGAAACTATGATTCCAATTTGGCTCATTCTAAGCACAAGTTTTTCGTTTGTTAGTAGAAATTTATTACTCTAATTTTTCCATATATTATAACCTCAAGAGAAAGGGTATAAAGATTAACGAGATCATTCATTCATCCATTCAACAAATATTTATTTACTGAGTGCCTATTATGTATAAGTCATTATTTCTGGGCACCATGGATACACCAGGGAGCAAAAGGACAAAAATCTCTTTGCCTAGAAAATTCCCCAGCCCAATTCTAGTGGAGGGATAGAAACCAAAACTAAACCTACTGCCATTCAGTCAATTCTGACTCATAGTCTCCCTATAGGACAGAGGAGATTTGGCCCATAATATTTCCAAAGCCATAATCTTCATGGGAGCAGACTGCCACATCTTTCTACTGTGGAGTTGCTGGTCAGTTTCAACTGCCCATCTTTTGGTTGCAGCTGAGTGTTTAATGACTACGCCACCAGAGCTCCTTATTAGAGGGATATAGGGAATAAAAGATATATCACTAAAACATACAATATGCCAGGCAGTGATAAATGCTATAAATAAATAAATGCTATTATCAGTGTGCCAGAGAGGGGAACCAAAATCAAAACCAAACTGACTGCTGTCGAGTTGGTCCCGACTCATAGTGACCCCTCCTCCTTGGGTTTCTGAGGCGGTATCTCTACAGAAGCAGGTTGCCCAGTCTTCCTTCCGAAGAGAAGGGAAGAATTACAATTTTAAATAAGAGGGAACACTTACAATTTTAAATAAGGTGGTCACGAAGGCTTCACTGACATTTGAGCAAAGACCTAAACAATGAAAAACTATTAAAACTATGTGACTGATTGGGGGAATAGCTTTCTGCACAGAGGGATTAGCAATTCCAAGAGACTAAGGCATTTGACTGCTAACATGAAGGCTGGCTGTTCAAACCCACCAGCCACTCTGTGGAAGGAAGACCAGGCAATCTACTTCCATAAAGATTTAGGGCCTCGGAAACCCAATGGGGGTCATGTTAAGTCGGAATTGACTCGATGGCAGTGGGTTTGGTTTTTATTGTGTGTGTGTGTGTGTGGGGGGGGTGGATAGGGAACTTGCTGGCAAGTTTAAGGAACAGCAAAGAGGCCAGTGTGCCAAAATAGAGTGAGAAGGACGAGAAAGGAAGAGGAGGGGTTGGGCTTTTAAATATGCACGTTACATTTCTTTCTTATGTGATACTATTTCAGGGACCCCAATATGACTATAGCTTATATGTAAAAATAAATTAGTCACCTCTGGATGTTGCATTAGTCTTTATAGACCATTAAGGTATTAATCGACACATTACTGTTCTAGTATACTCCCAAGTGCCAAACAAATCAATATATGATACTCTTTTGCTATATACTGTTATAGTACCTTGTAGGCATAATAATATTCAACCAAGAGATTTACTTTATGGCATTAATCTAGACCAAATGGAATAAAGAATAGATTTACAAAATTGAGCTCCCAGGTATCTAGTGATTTATCCAAGGTTTCATTAATCAGTAATAAAACTCAAGGTGACCAAATCCAAATGTGACAGACAGACACTACTTCTCCCCAGCAACTACTAACAAATACTCGGGTCAAATCAGAGCTATTAAACGGAATGATAAATGGATTTTTCAAAGTAACAAGTGGTCTGAACAGGCAAATAAAGATTCCAAAAGACTTGCTTAAAGTCATGAAGTAAGTGACACTACTATATAAATACATACTTTTTTTTGCTTAAAAGGTATTTATCCACATATGCCAAACAGCTTTTATATAGCGCATGCATATGTGTGTGTGTGTGTGTGTGTATACAGATGATAGAGAGATGTATATATACATACATATAACACCAAAATCTAATTATTTTGTTACTCTATGACCAGATATAAATAAAGGAGTACTAAATTAAAAAGAAAAGAATTCAATTTGAAAGAAAAAATCTCATACAATAGTAACCACCGTAAAGGAATATAAAAACAGACACCTACTTAAATTAGGCCCTCTCTAAGGCTGTGAGCTTCCTGAGGGAAGGAACCAATCTGTCTTATCAATCTCATCAACATCATCATCTCTCTTGACATTTCTTTCGTGCCTACAATGTTCTAGGCACTGTACTAAACATTTTATTTAATGTACTGAATAGCTTATGAGATAGCCATGATTAATATTCCCATTTTGTAGATATGAAAACTGAAGCTCAGAGAAATTAAAGTCATCTAACCCAAAACCACAGTATAGTAAGAGACAGAGCTAGATATAAACTTGGATAGTTTCCTCCAAAGTATGCCACACTACACTATCTCCCTTTTCATTTTAGTATCCTTTGCCTAGGTAAGCATCTTAGACATGGCTGTTCAACAAATATTTACTGAGTAAATCTAAAGCATGTTTTATTTATATATATATATATATAAAACATGCTTTAGATTTACTCAGTAAATATATATATCTCAGGTACCTTACTATGGAGGAAAAGTGTATGACTTTAGAATAACGATACCTTAGTTACAGTCCTGGCTATCCCATCAATTAACGTTCCCTCTCAGAAGCTCAGCTTTTTCATCTGCTAAGTAAAGTTGATGAACTAAGTTTCCTTCAGTTCTACAATCTACTAAAATAGAGTATCAGCAACAATAATATCTAATAATACTAAACTAACAAATAAGCTTTCTTATATATTAGTTCCTTTTTACTTTAAGATGTTGTCATTGTTGTAAGGTGCTGTTGAGCCAGCTGCCACTTCCAGCAACCCTATGTACAACTATCTTTAAGACAAAAAAACAAAACAAACAAACAAAAAAAACCCCACACTGCCATCAAGTAGGATCCAACTCATAGTGACCCCTCCTTGAGTTTCCAAGGTGGTATCGCTATTGAAGTAGATTGCTCAACCTTCCTTCTGAGGTGTGGCTGGTGGGTTTGAACCACCAGCCTTCTGGTTAGCAGTCAAATGCCTTAGGTACTCCTGATGGGATCATGGACCTTCAATACATTTGATTTCTCAAACACATATAGAATAGTAAACCCACTTCCATCAGGTCAATTCTGACAAACAGTGACCCTATAGGGCAGAGTACAATTGCCCCACAGGGTTTTCAAGGCTGTAAATCTTTTCGGAAGCAGACTACCTCATCTTTCTCTTGTTGAGCGGCTCGTGGGTTCGATCCACAGCCTTCTGTTTAGCAGCTAAATGCCTTAACTGCACTAGAACGCCTTATAGAATAGTAAGATTTTCTTATTCATAAAAAATACAAGTAAAATTGTTTGATAGCAACAACCTACAATTACCTGTATAAACAAATTGTTGTTATGTTGTTATGTGCCGTCGAGTCAACCCTGACTCATAGCGACCCCTCCTTGGGTTTCCGAGGCAGTATCACTACGGAAGTAGGATTGCCCAACCTTCCTTCCGAGGAGTGGCTGGTGGGTTTGAACCGCCAGCCTTCTGGTTAGCAGTCAAGTGCCTTAGCCACTATGCTACCAGAGCTCCCGTATAAACAAATTAGTGCCATTTATTTAAGGCACTATTCTTAACCTCTTTTGCATCACAGACCCTGTTGATAATCTAATAAAAGCTGATAACTCATTCCCCTCAAAATTGATAAAAGAAGTTTGCAAATTATTTTAGGTTTTTCATAGGCTCCCTAAAGCCTAAAGACTCACATTCTAATTGATCATAAAATGGAATTGAGAAGCCTTGAGATATAACTTGAGTAAGTTACTTATTAGATAAAGGGTAAGATATTCACAAAGGTTGTTTAGAAAACCTGCAGTATCACTTTCTTTACACCAGTGTATATTTAATAAAAGCTCTTGTGGCACAGTAGTTAAGTGCTCAGCTGATAATCAAAAGGTGGTGGTTTGAATCTACTATCTATTCCATGGGAGAAAGATGAGGCAGTCAGCTTCTGTAAAGATTACAGCCTTAGAACTCTATGGGGCAGTTAGCTCTACTCTGTATGTTCTACAGGGTCATTATGAGTCGGAATTGACTCAATGGCAATGGGTTTGGATTTTAGGGGGTTATATTTACTGTATTCATCTTGCAGTAGAAGCACATTAAGGATGAGACACATTTTCTTTGATTAAAACCTACAAATTCTTCTTAACATCTGTTACAGCATGATGATTAAATATAACATGTTTG